TGGATTCAGTGACAGTGAATGTTTGCACTGATAACAAGCCAAACTGCTCTACCGGATCGACCCGTGAAATGCTTTCAACAATCTCATCTCCAAAGCGTACGTCTTCACGAATTATGCCTAAGTCATTAGACGAAATCCACATCCAGGAATTTGACTTCAGCTCGCTCCAGTCCTTTTCCCGAAGATGAAATGTTAAGGTGCGGTCGTCGACGTCATATCGCAAACTATTGTAAATTGCTGAAAAGGTTGGTTTAACGGATTCAGGAGAACCAAACATCCGCTTGTAAGGGACAAAAATAAATGCAAAAAAATTCATTATCGACTTGTGATTTTTAGACTAAGGGGAAAGTTGGAATGAACCCACTTCTTTTAATTCATTCAGGCTTATCAAGAGAGGATCTCTTTAACTTATTTAAATAACTAAGAGATAGTCAAGCAATCATATATGTCGTTTCCATGACAATGTTTTAATGTAATTTGTGCAACCCAAACAGTAGTAAATAATAGTAAATCACTTTGGCTGTTTCACATTTGTTCCATTTGCACACCGATGATTCCTCAGTATACGTGGACAAAAAGGAGAAGCGCGTGAAGGGGGCGGGGGAGGAGGAAAATTCCAGGTAGAATGAGGTCAATGAAAGGGAAGAAAAATCTTTTTTTACTCACAAGCAACCGCTCCTTCACATAGTCGCTTTGTTTCATTATGCAAATCATAGGCACGGGAGTTCCCTTGTACCACGAGGGGATTGATATGTTAACGCTTGCTCTGATTTCAACTATGGGCTCTAAAAACACGGAATGTAAATTAGAAAACAAGGAAGAAAAATTAGACAATGACTGAGAGTTGATAGTACTTGGAAGTAGACGCCACATACCTCTATACCGATCATTACTTCTGGAAAACACTGGCATTATTTTATTGAAAGAAGTAACTCAGTTTCAACAGGCAATGCTAGTAAGCACAAAATGTATGTAAGGTGAAAAAAAAATTAAAAACTGTTTCGTGTATAACTATTGAGAAGTATCACCATAGAACCTGCAAAAGTGGTGTCTGTTGTTCACTACTACTACTTGTAATTCTTAATTTTTCGTAACTTGCTTTACTCTTATAAATATGTTAAGTTGGCGTGAATAGGCTGATAGACGTTCATAATTGTTGAAACGTAATTATTACCTCGTTCGTTCCCAATGGATGCTTTCAACAAATTCCAGGAGAGACCAAACTTTGTTTGGAAATCAGCTGGTAATTCACTCTCAAGAAGATCAAATATCTGAGTAGCTAATTGATAAATCAAAAACGCGCCTTTTTTTAGTAACAGTAATCTGAAAATTATCTCGATAAATCATTGACTTCAAACATGCTACACTGAAGATAGAGGAAAGCAAAGTTTTCATCAAAACTTCAGTCGGATTCCGCTCAAAGTTCGAGCAATAAGTGCAAAAATCATTTTCTAAAAATCTACTCATAGCGCGGTACCTTTTGGAATACTATTTAAAACAAATCACTTTAGTTCATTTCTCTAAGTAACCCAGGGATTAAATTCTCAAGCATTCTCGAGAAAATTAATGTCAAACCTCGTAAGAATGCTTAAAGCGTGTGTTGTTGTGTTCTTAACTAACGAAACGAACCTTTTAATTGAAATATGGAACTTTAAGTTCAATTTTCTCTCGCGAGGTCAGCTTGAGAGCTTAAGTCTCGATAAGTTCTTGTTAACTGTATTCAAAATAATATCATGCCATGAGGTTTTTTTGGTAACTAAATTTTTGCCATTATTGCTCGAATGTTCTGCGGAAATCATCTTAATACGTTTAAATTTATTATCCGCAATCTTTTTCTTTCCGGATACGGTTTCCGTCCAAACGCATCCGGCGAATTCGGCAGCGAATCCGGCTATTTTTTAATCCGCTCTCCAGAGTAGAAAAAAAAAAATCGCAACGAATCCGATAACGTGTGGACGGTGAATCCGGATATTTTCGAATCCGATGACGTAGCAAAATCGTGTCCAGTCCCTTACCGAACAACAAACCAATATGGCGTCACAACGTGTAGGNCGGCACAACGTGTAGGCCTAGTTTCTCTAGAGTGACTCTGGATACCACCGGATGCGTGTGGACAGGCGAATTCGATTTGAATACGCTGCGTGTGGTCGGGGAAAGTTTTGAATCCGGAAAGAAAAAATTGCGGATTCAAAAATATCCGGATACGTGTGGACGGGGCCCTAGAAATTGTTTAACTATCAAAGAATTTTTTTTCTTTACCAAATTAAAGAAAAAAGAAAATTTGTAAATAACCACCCAGTATCGAACCCGGAGCCTCTGTTCCTAACATCCCTCTTATACCCCTAAACTACCAGGTTGATCCGCCAAATCTCCGCAAAATTTAATTATGAAACGCGACTTTCCTAAATTTTAATGATCGAGTTGCCCCAACCATCAAATAAAAGCTAACCGCAAGCAAACCAGTGTGAATATAAACAATTAAGCGTTTGGTGAGTGCGTTTTACTCTATCAACAAATTATAACCAGTTTCTACCTTGTCCAGGCCTAAACTAAAGCAGATATGGCATCGTCCAATCTGAAAGGCTTGGTTACCAATGATAGCAGCGACCGTTTACGAAACGGAAATCAGCGGCATCGCTGTGCGCGTTCCCCTGTCTACGCAGAACTTGGTCATTTAAGGCCCATTAACCGATTCAAGCGCGCGCTCGCGCGCGTTGCTAAAGAGGTGAAATTTCACTTCCGGTTACTTACGTCAGCCTGAGCGCGGAATAACAACTCAAAAACTTGAAAATTCGCTTGCATTTTAGATGTTTTTTATGTGTCTTTCACAAAATGCAAAGTACAAAAAGTACCAGCAAAGACAAAATAAGAGAAAGACAGAAAAACAAGAGCAATAGAAATAGAAAAACTAACTCCATGTGGCTTTGTCTAATCTTACCGAAGAGCGCTGGTAGTGTAAATTTCGCCCGCGCTGATAGGGTAACTTCCAATATATATCGGGCGCACTTCCGGTTTCTTTAAATGCTAAAGGAAACACGGTTTTTCATTAAATCCATCCTTTTTCGACGAATTTCGATTAAAGCCAACGTTGGAAACATACCTATGCATTCCTTTTTCGAAATCATGCTTTTTTCAGAAAACTACGAACTTTTCAATATTTTGAAATGCTCTCAAAATCTGACCTTCTAGAAATGAAACAAAATCGATGCATAGCGTAATGAGGACTTAAATTAAAATATTAAATCAATGAAAAAAATCCCGATAAAGTAGTTTGCCTGGGAGCCTTTGCATTTTTTCTGTATTAGTCACATGACCATGGGTGTGGCCTGATGACGTCATCACTAGTGTTACTGATCATGAAAAAGGTAAAACACATGAAATAACTCTGGACAAACTAAAAATGATGAGGTTATATGAGAATAAATTTCCTTAGCAACGGCTCGAAAAGATCGGTTAATGGGCCCTTAAGGTTGTAGTTTTGCAGAGGCGGCAAAGATATGTAGAAAGATTTATAACGCACGTGCAAAGCCATTGTTTTGCTCATTAAAACTTTTGTATGGTGACGTTCTAGTTACAGTTGTCATTGTGGTTTGCTAAACCCCCATTTTATCAATTTCATTCGTTAAAAATTCAATCTAACCTCCTCCTTTCAAAATTGGTCCAATCTGATGGATAATTCGAAGGAAGGTAAGCGGTGAGGATAAGGTAGCGCCCAACAACCGAGAAAACCGCTGTTGAAGCAGATTGAAGCATCGCTCAGCAAGCCGGAGTAGGGCTTGTAAAACATCACTGGTTCTATCTGTAATTGTAAACATGAAAAAAAAAAAAAAAACACATTTCCAATGCGAAACAAACTAACATGAGAAATACAGTGGACCCCTATGGTTGGCCATTCGTTTCAAAATTACGACAGGGTATAAGCGAGTTTTTCTGCCGCGTATACTTGTTTACATACGTTACGTATGGGCTTTAAGGTGGCTGAACACAGTTTTTGATACCAGTGTTTCATTCACCTTTTTCTCTAAAACCCTTGATCTCTCGGTCGCCAAAATGGCAGCAAGCAAGTTAACAACACAAACTTTGAATTTTTTATGGTTAAGCTGACATATGTGCTGTTGCCATGGCAACACGAATAAAAATAAACAGGCCTTTAAAATCGGTTTTGTTTATTTGTAGACTTGTAAAATCACTGCGTTCACCCATATTGGTTGTGCGTACAGCATGGTTATTCCATGCCTCAACTAGGAAGTTTAACTGGTTGTTAATTCTGGAAAGAAATATGTAATACAAACAGAACAGATCGATTATGCTGGTCGATTCCAGGATGCCATTTTCTTCCATCTGGTAGAACAGAGTGTAGTAGAACTGACCGACTTCGATAAAGACTTCTCTCCAGAGACGTTCAATTCACTGGTTGTGTACAGACAACCCCGCAATTTTGCTTCCCCTATTAAATCCCCTGTGCCATAGCATAGCTCTTCCTGTCTCTGAATTTTCATCCCCTTCTTCTGAACACACTCTAGAGGGCAATCTATAAATCTGCACAGCAGCTAAGAACAGAGCGAGCCCAGTAGCAGAATTTTTTGTTGCACGACTTAAAGTCTAAAGCCCTGTCAAAACCACCATGTATTACAAACCTCCGACTGATAAGGCAGTGTAGTCCATCAATGTGCCAGAGAGAATTAGGTCCCCTGACGCCTTGTGATGGTATTGAACCACCTCAAATCAGACCCTGCTGGGTCAGTTTGAAAAACACTTTCCCTTACACGCTGACGCTGAACATAGATGTTTCTACTTGGCAAATGAACCAGCATGATACTGATACCAGAATTGGGAAACCTACGTCAGTCTTATTTCTCGAATCATCAGGGCCGGGTTGTTCGAAAGCCGGTTAACGTTAACCCAGGATTAAAAGTTAACCCAAATATAAATTTTTCTCTATAAAACTGTTTTCCACTGCTTATGCTTTGTGTAGTTTGAGATTACTCAAGTTCAAA